TGATGATGATGATGATGGTTATTTTTATCATTATTATTGTTGTTATTATTATCATTATGGTGGTGATAAATTAAGCTAGCGTAAAAGTGGAAAAAGGGTAGTGGCACTCTACGACATGAGTAAATTAAGAGAATAAATTGATTCGTTTTAATGTATTGGGAGAAAAATGAAAGTGAAATAGAAAATGTAAATAGAGCAACTTACCCTACAAAGCCATTCAACTGGGCATAAGAATAGGAGGAATCCAGAGGAGCGAGAAGGCCGGTCGGCAGAAGAGCCGACAAAGCTCGCGTAAACGGCTCCGACAGAGACCGGTCAGGTCATGCCCTCAGCGTTATATACGCGGCATCGCGTCAACACACACGCACGCCAGTACGCCGAGATGCGATTAGCAGACGCACGTATGTATGTCCTCAGGCAGCCTGAGGTCATGAGGCCAAATCAGCCAATCATCGTCTCAATCTCTTCGGTCCATTAGTCTCGCCTCTGATTGGTCGTCCGTTCAGTCGACCAGGTCGAGATGATCAGCCAATCAATGGGCGAGTAGATAAAACAAACCTCTTACTGGCTGTTAGGCGTGTCCTGAAGACAGCCGAAAGTAGCATTATCTACGATACTGACACACTGCTTTTTCTCTCTCCTAGACTTTCTCACATTATTCTTTTTCTCGTTCCACCTCGTACCTTCACTCCCTCTCAAGCTGCATCGCCCTCTTCGCTCTCCCTCATTCTCGCTCTCTCTCTCTCTCTCTCTCTCACCCACACATACACACACAATCTTTCTATATCTTCCTCTCCTTTTCGCCTGGATTATCACGTCTGCCTGTTGTCTGAGAAAGCACCATGCCTCCCGGGCCACAGCCTAAAGGCTACGGGGCTAGTGACGTCAAAAGCAAGCAGCTACTAGTCACTTGTCTGGGCTACTTTTTCAACATTCGACCTACTCAGTCTGTTCTGGCTGGGCTAGCACCTGTAGATGCGATAATTGAAGACGATCCGAGTGAAATAGTAAATCTGCTGAGTTTACATTGCACATTTCAACTGATCGACTAAGCCTGGCTGGAGCTTGAAATAGGCGTGAAGGCATTGTGCAAATAGAGGAAAAGCACTCTCTGACGCTGCGACCGAGCTGCGAAAACAAGCTCGAGCCAACAGTAAAACAACCATTTACCGGCAGAGATGAGTAACTGGGCCGAATGCATGCTGATTAGGCTGGGCAGAGCAGGGTTTTCGGTAGATTGGCCGGCACAGCCGATGCTCTTGCGGTGGAAAGAAGAGAAAGGGCTATTGTCATTTTAAAAAAGGCGGACTAATGG